GGTAAGGATTACTATGGGACAGGGGAGGGGGGTGGTAAGGAACACTATGGGACAGGGGAGGGGGGTACAAGAACCCTATGGGACAGGGGAGGGGGTGGAAAAACACTATGGGAAAGGGCAGGTGGAGAAATAACACTATGGGACAGGGGAGGAGGGGAAAGAACACCAGAGGACAGTGGAGGGGGGAAAAGAACACTATGGGAGGAGGGTGGTAAGGAACACTATAGGACAGGGGAGGAGGGGTGGAAGAACACTATGGGACAGGGGAGGGTGGGAAAATAACACAATGGGACAGGGGCTGGGAATAAAAACACCACACAGATGGGCCTGGTTGTGGAAATACAAAGGATCTGGGGGTCAAGGAGACACAGAGGGGCTGAAGAAGAGGAAAACTAGACACAGAGGGGCTGGTGGTGAAAGAGAAACACACAAAGGAGCTGGTAAGAGTAAAAAACACACAGGGGCTGGGAGAGAAGGAGACACACAAATGAGATGGGGGGAGTAAGACACACAAAGGGGGGTTGTAAAAGATACACAAGTAAGGTGTAAGACACACAATGGGGAAAATAGGGGATAAGATACACTAAAGAGGGTAAGACATTTTAAAAAGGGGATAAGAAACAAAAGGTGGGTTAAGGGGCACACAAATGAAGATGCCTTTGGGTGGGTGGGTGAGGGGGGTGCCAAACCATCTTTGCCTGTGCACCAGCCCTGTCTGTATGTATATATCTAATTTTTATAAAGCAGCTATTTACATAACATTTGGGGGGGGAGTATGCTTCTTTAAGACAGTGCAAGTACATCCTTAAACGGCTGAGGTGAATTCCTTGGTGTCTCCTGATAAGAGCAATCAGGAAACCAACCTGGGAGAGCTGTACATGAACCCAAAATCAGATCATGTGTGAGGTATAAATATGTAGTAGCTGTACTATGTAGTTGGCTATTTTAAAAATGTAGTTTTGTTTCTCCAGCAAACACTGTTCGATGATCTTGGCCAAGGAGTGCTAAACAATGCCTGGCAGGGTTACAATGCTACTCTGCTTGCATATGGACAGACAGGTTCTGGGAAGAGCTATTCCATGATTGGTTGTGGGGCTAACAGAGGCATCATCCCTGTTGTCTGTGAGGAGCTCTTTCGAGCTATTGAAAACAATCAAGAGAATAACAGAAGATACCAGGTAAACTTTATAGCATGTATCAATACAATATAGCAGTGGTTGAGATAATCATATGTTGCAGTAATGTATACAGCAACACCAAGAAAAGAAGAACAAGTCATTGAAATTTATGTAAAAATTGTTAATAATTTATTGCTGACATTACCTTTATGGCATTCTGAGTTTGCAGTCTGTGATCTTCTAAATGTCTATTTACTACTTATGCAGCATCTACCATGCATTAAAACATGTTGTCTTCATCTCCATCTACGAAAGGTGTATTTCATAACACTGGGCTCCTTTCGGCAGACACAGCTGATATAGTAGTCTGATTGCACAGACGTACATTTATGTTTAGGTTGTATGTGGTCAATATTATTCGGTAAACTGACTGAAAGATAGCAACACCAACGTGACAGTAAGGTTTCCCTATTTAACCTGTAAGACCTAGTGCACTAGGTCACTAATGACACTGCGCACCTCCTACACGACGCAGACCTTTCTGGTGGTCCGACTTTCTAGACGTATAGTCCAGTTAGCGTTTATATGTCATATCCTGTGTATGTTAATAACACGTTGCACTCAAAATGTGGCAAAATATGCTATTTTAGATTATTGTATATATTTTGCAATGCTACAATAAAATATATATGTTGAAAAAAAATATATGTAAAAGGATGGACCAAACACTCCAAGTTACCTCAACATTGGGAGGTATGGATTCGGGAAGGCTGGCAGGCCTTCAGAAATCACAGGCTTGGGATACTAAATATGCAATATAATATAACCAGTCAGCAGAGAAAACAAAATAGTCTGTATTTTGAATAATAATAATGATAATAATACCATATTACATCTTGTTCTCCTATTACAGGTAACTTTCAGTATGCTGGAGATTTATAATGAACAGGTAATTGACAATTTCTGAATGATATGAGTATCAATCATTTCTATTGCAGGCATAAGCAACCTTTGGCACTGCAGATGTTTTGGACTACACCTCACATGATGCTTTGCCAGCATTATGGGTGTAAGAGCACTATGGGGGATGTAGTCCACAACATCTGGAGTGCCGAAGGTTGCCTCTCCCTGTTCTATTGCATTGTAGTCCTGCTCAGACGTTAGACATTGGGTTAGTGAATTACTATCACTCTTCTTATCCTTTACAATTTGGAATGGTTAGCTTCCACCTTTCCTCCCAATGCTGTGAGAAGTGTCTAAAACCAAAACGAGAACCTAAACAAAAACTTACATCCTAAATTTTAAAGGGTGTGAATTTATGACATCTTAATTGTAGCTTTTGAAAATAATACTATTGAAATACCAGTCTATCGACTGTCCTGCACATGCCAAACTTACCTTTCTCCTATTGTTTCCTCTTCTCTCCCTCTCTCAGAATCTGTTCTTCTTTTTTCATATCTTATCTATTTAAAAAAAAAAAAAAAACATAAGACAAAGTAGGTACTACTTTCTCTTATGCATTTTTCCTATACTTGACCTTCTTTGACCAAAGTAGGAGCTTAACTCCGCTCCATTTCCTGAGGGCAAAGAAATTTTCCAACAATACTCACCATGATCTTTAGTTGCTTCATTCGCCATTTGAACATCCTGTCATTCGCCATGGGTTGTGGCCAGGGGAGGCAATAGTTCTCCCCCTTGTCACTTAGGACTCACCGCTTATGGCTGGGACATTAGGTTGTCCCCTCGCCCCTTTTGTCACTTAGGGCCCCCACTTGCCGCGGCACAAATTCCAAACCAAATAAAATGCAAACATTTTGTCCTAACATGAATGGACAAACCTTCGACGTTCTGTTAGGGCGAAATTCTGTGAAGGACAGGACGTTCGTTCGGTGAATAAAGCAACTACAGATCACAGGGGAGAAGTGAGTATTGGGGGAAAATTTCTTACACCACAGAAAATGGAGCAGATTTAAGCTCCTCCTTTGGTCAGAGAAGGTCAAGTGTAGGAAAAATACATAAGACTATGTAGTCTCTACTTTGTCTTATGTTTTAAAGAAAACTAGATCAGATAGGAAGAAAATAACCGATTCTGAGAGAGGAAGAGAAAGGAAACAATAGGAGAAAGGTAAGTTCTGCATGGCATGGCCAATTTAAAGGGACAATATAGTCCTCAGAACAACTACAATAAGCTGTATAGCATGTATAGAAAAGGCAGTTTTTACATTACATCCTAGGAAAACCTCTAGTGGGCAATCCTCAGATGTCTACTAGAGGTGCTTCCTGGGTATATGCTGCACACTATGCAGCACTGACATTCAACATCTCCACACTTTGCATGGATACTCCCCATGATTCAATGCATCTCTATGAGGAGATGCTGATTGGCCAGGGTGGCGTTTGGCCCTGGCCTCGCCCTGCCTCCTTGACAATCTCAGCCAATCCAATGCATTTCTTATGGTAAAGGAGATAGATCGGGCAGACCCGCACAGCACTGGAAATAAGGTGGTTTTCCTACCTTTTAAGGAGAGCAAGGGGGGCAAGCCACCTAAATGGTGATTTTAACACTATAGGATCAGGAATACACTTTTGTGTCCCTGACCCTATAGTGTTCCTTAAATGTAATTCAAAATTAATATGAATAGAAAATGGAGTTCCTGTCATTTCTCAGAGAATAGCTTTAATCCATGCTTATTGTCAGTCTTAATCAGAAGAGTTCAGGGATGGCAGTTCTTGACTATTGCAGGGTGTGTATGCACTCAGTTGAAAACATTTTTTTATATTTTATATAGAACATATTTTAAATGTATGAAATGTATATGCAAATAAGAGTCACCTGCAAAGGGCTCTGCCCAGACTAGGCATTAGATGGTGATTATCAGCCTTCCATTTGTTTTCAGTGAGCGTATTGAGCATATCCCATAAACCCCCATAGTTCATCAAAACTGAACATCAAAACTGATAGCAGCCAAGAGGCACTAAAAAGAGAAACTCTATTACAATTAATTATATAGCGTTGATGTATTCCGCATTGTTGTACAAAGGGTAAGACAGGACATCCGTATTTCGAACAAAGCACAATTGACATATGGCAACAGTAGGTGAAGCTTACAATCTAAAATAAAAACCTGAATTTGCAGCTGCTTCTTCTTCTCGACTGGTAAGCCAACATCTAGTTTGCGAAAATAGAAAGTTATAGAAATTTTCTAACTCGTGATTTTGTCCAGGTCACAGATTTGCTATGTAAAACCAAAAAGTCTGGTGGTCTGAAAGTGCGAGAAGATCAGCATCAAGGATTTTATGTTGATGGTCTAAAACTAGTGCCTTGCGAGAGCTATGCTCAAATTGAAAAGTTAATGGAACAGGGGAAAAAAATAAGAACCACTGCCTCAACCAGCATGAATGCCAGCAGCAGCCGGTCCCACATGGTCATCACCATACACTTCAAACAGGTACAGAATATATTTGACTTTGTTGCATTCTAACATACCCCCCCAAAAATATTTTATGAAAAAAATAATACTACTAAAAAATTTACCCTATAGACCATCTTCAATCATTCTTTTATTAATGTAGTGACACTCATGCCATCTTCACTAACTGTGGCTCTGAAGAATCCTTCTAACACTATTGCTAGGGTTGAGATTAAGTTTAGGATTAAGTTTAGGATAATGGTTATGATTAGGATGAGGTTTCTGATTAGGATTAGCGTTCAAAATCACCTGATTTTTGGGGTGAAGCATGTGACGGAACTGCTGATATCGCAGGGGGGAGCAAAGGGCAGGCATGAAGTTCAAAGGCGTTTGGTTGAGAAGGACATGTATACCGCAGACACATGGTTAGCTCAGCAATAACCCGGACATTTTTTTAATGCGATGCTTGTGAGTCTATCGTGCACAAGAGCTCACATTATTTATATGTAAGAGTTTTTAAAAGTATGCTAAATATTTGCCAAACAGTATTACACTATCGAGATTCCCCTGTTCTCTTGGTGGAGATCCTTTCAGAGGAATATATCAGTGGGGTTTACCCTCTTTTTTCCAGCATTCAAACTCATGGTTCATGTGAGTTTGATACCACAGAGCAGGGCCAGATTAAGAGCCCATTGGGCATGATGCTGACAATTATTATGGGCCTAATTACAGAATCTTATTGACAGAAAACACTAAAACAGTCATACCTCCCAAACATCATGTATCTGGTGGAAGTGGTGCTGGAGGGAAACTCATAGGATATAGCTATAAAACAACACAAACCCTATGCTAATCTCTGGCTTTCATCTTTCAAGTAAATCCATACCTCCTAACAGCAGTGTCTGGAGAAGCAGAATGTCGGTGGGCAAAGTAAAAGGCTGGGCCACTGATGCGAATCACTTAACCAGAACATGCCCAAAAAGGATCCAAGTCTGCCCGAAGAATTAGAAGGTCAGCCTGGTGTAAATGCATGACAGGCTGCCTGACAATCGTGCAGACTGGCCAGCAAAATACATACCATGCAAACAGCACCCTGAGCTTGGCATAAATGCGCCTAATGATGCACTTGCTCCTTGCTTTCTAAGAACTGTCCCCTAGCACTTGCTGGTCCAATCCTCTCCTAACCGTCTTACTAGGAACCAGAAGCTCATGTTATACAGTCTGGGACAGAGGACAGGTTTTTGTAGTAAATGTAAAAGAAAGGGAACATGCTACAGTGTTAGAGAGAATGAAGCAGCACGAGCATTTGCATAGTGCGCAAAGTCATTTTTACCTTAACTAATTTCTTTGTCAGCCAGGCCACACAGGTTTTGTTCCCCTACACCCCTCTTAAGTCTTCATACTTAAAGGACCACACCACACCCTAAAAGCACTTCAAAGTGAAGAGACTGAAAATGTCTTTAATGATAAAAGGCAGGACTTTCAACGGCTGCAGTCATAACAACTGCAGCTTTTGTAATCTCTTTTAGACTATACTCCCAATGAATACATGCATAAAAATATGCATGCATTTATTCTTTGGGGGTATATCTACTAAACTGTAAAAAATTTGGTCTGTTTTTTTTTGTGTGGAGTAGTCCTTTAAGCAAGAGCATGCGAAGAGTTAAAAAATAAAATGATTATGTGTCTATGTGTCTGTGTGTGTGTGTTTATATGTCACACATAGCTAAAATAGCTTGTGTCCTTAAGTACATTCATCTGGAATACTGAACACTGCGTGTGCTTTTCCCCCTAGATTTTCTTGGAAGAGGATATTACCAAACAATCCAGCATTAACTTGGTGGATTTGGCAGGAAGTGAAAGACAGAAGTCTTCTGGTTCAGAAGGAGACCGTCTTCGAGAAGGCACCTGTGTGAACCTCAGTTTGACTACCTTAGGCAATGTAATAAGGTACTGTAGTGAAGAACAGTGCATTACACAGTTGAAGTTCTCTCATTCAGGGAAATCAGAATTGTTAATTACTCAAAGCATATTTGTCCTTTAGTATAGGGGGACATAAGCCTATGTACCAGAGATATTTAAACAAAATGTATAATCCAGCACTGAAACCGCACTCAAATAGCATGATGCAATATTTAAAATCACTAATAAAATCTTTCCCTTTATTCACATTGCCTAAGGTTAATAGTAAGCAACCTCCACAGCTAATTTTGGATATGTAATTTTAACTCACCCACAAAACCTAAAGGATTGCCCTTATGATACACTCAGGGCAAGAACATTGCAGAAAATGGAGAAAACCTCTTACATGCTGAAATAGGAGGCTAACTTGGATCAAAGATTTTTTTAAGGAATGGTATAGAGCCCTTAGTATATTAAGGGAAATTATTCAAATCATTGGGAAATGCTTATATTGCATATATATTCCCCAATCTCCTGGCACAGTGCTGGCGATGCAATTCTGCCATGGGCACGTTATTGTCCATATGTTGGACTTGCCCTTTGGCATGTCACCACTCGAACCAAATTCACTTCCAAATGCATAGTGTCAGTGGAAACTGGGTGGCCAAAACTCTGGAATTGTATTTACTGTTAATGGTACCCAAGATATAATTGAGGTATCTACTATATGTTTGCACATTCTACTAATGGTTCAATGGTTCAATTAGGGTTAGCGAGAGCCTGGAGATCTACTAGTCT